TTTTAGTAGAGACGGGGTTTCACCATGTTGACCAGGATGGTCTCGATCTCTTGACCTTGTGATCCACCCGCCTCAGCCTCCCAAAGTGCTGGGATTACAGGCTTGAGCCACCGCGCCCGGCATTACAATAATTTTTTAATGAGACGAGAGCCAAAATAGATTTTGGAAGGGGCTATCATCATGGAGAATTAACTGTAAACACTTTTAATGCCTCATGAATTGAATCTGACAAAGCCTACTCATGTCCCCTGCACAAAGCACAAGTCCCAGATGATGCAAGAAAAAGAGAAGCATGAAAGCAGCTGACAGGGGCCAGGCACAGTGGCTAACGCCTGTAATCCCAGCACTTTGGGAGGCTGCCACAGATGGATCACCTGAGGTTAGGAGTTCGAGACCAGCCTGGCCAACATGGTGAAACCCCATTTCTACTAAAAATACAAAAATTAGCCAGGCGTGGTGATAGTTGCCTGTAAGCACCAGCTCCTCAGGAGGCAGAGGCAGGAGAATCACTTGAATCTGGGAGGTGGAAGTTGCAATGACCTGAGATCTTGCCATTGCACTCCATTCTGGGCCACAGGACAAAACTCTGTCTCAAAAAAAAAAAAAAAAAAGCATTTGACAAAAGGGTACAACAGAGACGGCATGAACCTCAAGGCCAGAGCCTGGCCTGGATCTCGCTTCCTATCCCCGAGCCCTCAGTTCTGACCATCAGTTGCCTCATCAGCAAAACAGGTAAATAAGCTCTGTCTCACTTGGTGGTGGTTGGAATGATGGGAAAAAAAAGCACACTTCCTATGAACTTCATCTGTGCTCCACAAGAGCATCACGTGGAGGGGCTTAAGATGAAACTCCTGTCTTCTGCCACAGAGACCACCCTCCCGAGTAGCCCTGCCCATCCAACCTCTCTGATGTCATGTCAAACTCCAACGGGAATACACTGTCCGAGACTCATCCCACCCACCCCACCCCACACCTCTGCTCTTCCCTCCAGGGTTTCTGCCTCAATGAATGAGTCACACAGTCACAAAGTCCAGGAACCTGGGTGTCATTCACTAGCTCTAGACAACAGGGCCACAACTGCCTGTCCACTACGGTACCCCAGTGCCCCAACAAGGTGCCCCTTAACAGTCAACACATACTAGATAAATTCTTGATTTCTGTCATCCTACAAGCCACTGATCACCTACTCTACCAATTCTATCTCCTAAATAATGTTTAAACCAATTATATAACTTAAAATGATTTCTAGGCCAGGCGTGGTGGCTCACACTTGTAATCCAAGCACTTTGGAGGCCAAGGCGGGCATATCACCTGAGGTCGGGAGTTCAAGACCAGCCTGACCAACATAGTGAAACCCCGTATTA